TTTGTGAAAATCTCCCGAAATCTCGTGATTAATGAGAGACAAATTTTAAGATATTATATGAGTATTTTCTGCTTAAAAATTAGTACATCAGATTTTTATAAAAGTCTCTAAAAGTCATTAAAATTTGAATACCGTAAGACTTATAGAGACTTCTAAAAAGTTTTAATTGAATACACCATAACTTTTAGAAACTTTTTAAAAGTCTATAAAAGTCTTAATTGAATACACCATGACTTTTAGAGAGTCTCGAAAAGTCTTAATTGAATACTCCTAAACTTTTTAAATCTCAAAAAATCATTAAAAGTCTCAATTGAATACACCCTCCTTAGTCATCAAATAAAAGCTGGGATAGATAAAATGACTGCACAGCAAGAGAACTGTAATGTTCTAGAAAACAGCATTTCTTTAAAGCAGACAAAAAACGGATCTCTATACAGAAACAAGAAGAATAATACACTTCAAAAATTTGGCTGCACAAAAATTCAGGCAACTCAAAAGTTAGAATCGTTAGAACCAAAAGCATTATCGGTAGGATCTTCACAGATATAGGCCAGCCACCTACCAATAAAATGGAAATTATGCTACAAGAAACCCACCAGATAGCCTGTTATCAAAGTACAGTCAATCTGAATAAATATTTTGCTAAAATGTTCCAATTTGGTCCACAAAATGCTTCCAACCAAGACCCTCTTTTTTTGACTGACAATTTGCAATAATATAAAGCTTTAGTCATATCCTACTTGTATTTAGTTGGTTACCAAATGACTTACACAAGCAAGAAAGATAGCGAGTGCTAGTGCTAGAGCTGGTGGCCTTAATATTTTAATGTTCTGAAAAAGCAACATAAAATGTGCAAAATGTGCGCTATATATAAGCACGTTGTTATTTCCATGTATTGAAGTGCAAGAATGTAGATATTCTAATGGATTTTACTTATCAAACCTGCCAGTAAGAAGAGATTCTTTGAGCCAATTATCAAACTCTAAAGCCCATGAAGCAACATTATCATTGGTGCCTTGCATGGTCCTTAGGTTATGAGTGGCAGAACCTGAGCCAATTATGAGGACACCTTCTTTCTTTAGGGAAGCCAATGCCCTTCCTACTTTATAATGGTGATTAGCATCCATATTTGTCTGTACAGAGAGCTGGCACACAGGGATGTCAGCCTCTGGATACATAAGCATTAGAGGGACCCATGCGCCATGGTCCAAACCACGCTTTTTATCCTCATGCACTCGTTTGAAGCCAGCTTCCTCAAGCAGCATCTTCACCTTCTTTGCCAATTCAGGAGCTCCAGGTGCAGGATACTTGAGCTATTGGAGAGGAAACGAGAAGTTAGAGAGAGCATGAGAACTGAATTGCACAAAGAAGTAAATCACAGAATCTTACATCAAAAACAATCTTTGTACGGTAAAAAAATATCCACCCCCTAAAACACTACAAAAAAACATACCAAGAAATGCAAAAAATAAAAATAAATAAAAAGATGAAGCATCTTAAAGATTGACAACACAAGCCTCAATTAATGGCAACAATATCATCATTGCCATTCAGTTAGAAGAACAAGTGTAAGCATAGCATTTGATCTCTGTGATACTAGTAAGACCCCATATACTGTCGTATAACATGAGCCACACCAAGAGTAACATGTACTGAACTCATCGACTCATCGACGGTATACTCAAGAGACGTGTGCAGTCATCTTTAACCACTATCCATGATCACAACCTCACCTTCAAGCAAAGTTCATCAAGGGACTGTTTAACACGTGGGAAAAGTCATCTTTGATCACTATCCATGATCAAAACCTTGCATTCATGCAAGTTCTAACAGATCAGTAGTCGAGGTGGAGTATCTCATAGACATGCATCCCACAGGGAATGAGATGACATGTACTAACAGCTACTTCGGTGCAGCACAGAATCCCTGTATTTTTTCTGTATTTATAGGGATCAAAGGACAGGTGCTCATTCCTACAAAACATAATACGTAACAGGTCGCATAAAGCAATCCTATAAAAGGAGGCCTCATCCATTACTAGAGAAGTAAACTCTAGAAATATTAACTTCTATTCAGTTTTTATAATTCTTCTATACTTTTTCATCAACTGATTGTCAGGACAAAGTGGGATACAGGGAGAATTCCCCATAGCTCCGGTGATTTCTGCACCCCATCTCGTTATCCCTATACATCCCCCAACACTACAATCTAGTGCATGCTTACGAAGCTTAAAAAGTAACTTTAGATTACTTCAAGCTTAGCCAAATATACTGCAAGCCCCCAATTTGGAAGTTCTTTTGCGTGGCTAGAACATGCTTTCATCTTCCTCATTCTTCAAATTCCAGATCTCAAAACTCATTAATCAACTTCGTTATATTATGTAAGACAGAGAGATTCAAACTAGTATCTCATTTCATCTAAATCATTCAATTTCCCTCAACTGAGATTTTTGATAGGTTTAAAATTATTATAAATTCTAATGATAATATATTTGAATAGTTCAAAAAATGAACCACAATCTCCTCAAAATTGGTAAAATTTCAAAAGAGTTTGTTATAAGTATTTTAAAGCTTGAAATTCATCCAAATTCTTTAAAATCCTTGTTCTTTATAAATTTATGAGTTATTGAGGGCACCTAAATATTAAAGTATTTCATTGAAATTCATTAAAAACCCAATTCGGACACCTATATTTTAACTGCAATCATTAAAATCTCAATTGGAACACCTAAATTTAGAAGAATTTAAGAAGTCAAACCTGTAGAATAGTAAAATAACGGTAAAAAAAAAAAAAATCAATTTTGTTGGGCGTGAAATCACTCCCAACACATCCCCTTAACATCTTTTTTACTGTTCACAAGAAGGTCAACGTAAAAATAAATACAGATATGAAGGTTACTTGATACATGGGCTTGGGGAAGCCATAGAAATCATGGATGGTTTCATTTGGGCCATTAATGACATTGACGGCGGGTTCAGAGGTCTCCCAGTGAGCCGAAATGACCAGAATGCAATTAGGCTTCTCGGGATACACCTTCTGCCGGAAGGACAAGAGGAAGGGGCGAGCCGGCAATGAATCATCGATGGAGAGAGTCGGAGAACCATGCGAGATGTAAAAAGTTTCTTTCAAAGCCCCCATCTTCAACGACGACATCATTATTCTAAACAGAATTGATTTTATATAGCAATTCAATTCACACCTAACACGCTTCTCGACAAATCTGCCTGTCAAGAATCAAGATATCGCTAGAATTTCACACACATATATAAAATAGCAAATAATGTATATAGACGCAAACAAATGGTGCATACACGCAATTATAGAGGGAGAGAGTCAAGAGTGGAACATAATATATATATATATATATATATATATATTTGGCTCCTTGGCTTGTAGATCTTGACGTGTTTCACGCCTCTCTCTTAAAATAATGTTTTTAGGGTGACGCTATATATATATATATATATATAAATATTAAAAAGGTAATTATATTACTCCTACAAATTATATCACATAGCAATTTTCTTATTTACTTAAATATCCTTAACTAAAATTACATAATTTGAAATTTCATATACTTTTTAATTAAATAAATTATTGTTACACCACAAATATAAAACCTAATTTCTTTATTTCTTTTCCTCAACGTCTCATTTTTCATAACTTTTCTGGCAGCTTTTCTTTTCTTCCACAGCGGCAAGATGATTTTATTTTCCTCATAATAAATGAATTTATACTCTATTTGACCACTATTTATTGATGAATTTTTTTTTGTTTATTTGTCAAGTTTGAAAATTAAGAATCTAACTTTTTGTTAATTCGAATAGATTTATTATGAATTTGAAACAATCAAAAGCATGCAAGTCTATTATCTTCAATTTATTGTGAATTTAATATAATTATTTTCAATTTTCTATTTAGTATGCTTCGTATCAATAAATTGAATTTAATATAATTATTTTCAATTTTTTATTTAGTATGCTTCGTATCAATTTATTATAAATTTGCATCATATAAGTACGATTCTTTTCATGTTTATCAGAAAGCATGTAAAACGATGATTTTTTAACGTTAAATGGACTTATGAATTTGCCTGTACATACTCATCATAGTATCCATGAATTTGCGTGCGTGCATTACATGAGAGCAAATTCATAAGCTATTTATATGTGCTACACTAGTCATAATGGTCCATGAATTTGCGTGTTTGTAGGTCCATGAATTTGCATGCATCATCTTTCATAAAGAATTAAGGTACCTCAATGCTGAAAAAATCTGAGGTGGTTTTTTAAACTGAGTTAGATATGCAAACTATTGAAAGAAGTAAAGTTTCATGGTTTGCTCATGGTTTGTCTGTACTTGTTTATCTCATGTTCAATGGTTGTGTACACCTCTAGTTCTAAAGCATTTTCACTATTAGAATTCTAATTGCATTCAAGTGGAGTTGGTTCCAAGAGTAATTTATTAAAAAATGGCCTCATTTTCATATGCCGAATCCCCTCATTGAATTTTGCCCGTATGAATATGGTGTGATGTTCTTCCTCGATCTTTCGTTTCCAATGGCTATGAAATAATGACGGGAAGGTTAAGAAAATGAGGACTAATATTGGTGATAAGTACACCACAATATAATATTATTATTTTTTTAATTTTTTTTCCATGAATTAGGAATATAATTGTAATTGTGTTGTGAGGTATTTTTTAAAAATATATTTTAATTGTGGTGCTAATAAGTGTATTTATGCACACTCATTTAATATCTAAATATGTTTATTATTGATTAAATGAATGAAATTCTATTCATAATTACGTAACATTTGCCTTTATAGGCAAAAAATCACCCAATGAAAGTAAACAAGGCAAAAAGGAGTGAAATAATGATCGATGGCGTGATTGAAAGAAAACTCAAAATTTGAAGACTAGATTATACATGATTAAAGTTGAGGGGCCTTGTGTGCAATTAAATGGAGGACTAAGTTGGAAAAAGAAATTAAGAACTTATTGTGGCACGCGCGAGGGTAGCCGTTGGTGATTTATAGAGACCACAATAGTCTCACAGTGCGCGCGCACCACAAATGCTTGCACGTGCGTTGCCTTTCGGCGATGCGAATTTTGCCTACTTCACTTAAATTTACTTCTTCCGCAATTTCACCTTAGACGATTCTTGGCCATTTTAATTCCCTTTTGTTGGTCATTTCTAAGGCTTCTATGGCTGAGTTTTCTTCCTCTTTCATTTTCTTTTACTTTAACTTCCTTTTCTTCTTCTTTCTTTTTCTTTCCATTTTTTATTTTTTTTTGACATTTTGAAAGTGAAATCAAAAGTACAAGGAGAATCTATAAATATTTTAGAAAGTCATAGCCATACTTCAAAAGGGTTATATCTATAACTTTGTATCTTCTCAATTATTTTGCCATATTTGTAATGGACTGTGTAAAATATTCTCATTTTTATCAATTGTATAAAATGGGCTAGTTTATTGTGTTGGGATTTATGGTAATAACTTAACCTAACTTTTAATAAATTTAATATTTGCTCTCTAATCTTAAATTATTTATTTTTATGTGTTTTTACTACTACTACTACTACTACTACTACTACTACTACTACTACTACTACTACTACTACTACTACTACTACTACTACTACTACTACTACTACTACTACTACTACTACTACTACTACTACTACTACTACTACTACTACTACTACTACTACTACTACTACTACTACTACTACTACTACTACTACTACTACTACTACTACTACTACTACTACTACTACTACTACTACTACTACTACTACTACTACTACTACTACTACTACTACTACTACTACTACTACTATTATTATTATTATTATTATTATTATTGCATTTTCATTTATGTGGCCAATGAATAATTATATTTAGTGATTTGTATATCGTTCAAGAGATGATTGTACATTTTAGACCAAATAGTAGAAATCCTTAGTTTGTGTAGGGGATAAAGATATATCTCTAACCCTAAGTGACCCAATGAGCTATTTCACAAAGAATTAATGTGGTTGTTTGGTTTTAATCGACATAGAGATATAGTAGGTTAAACCAATCAATTAGTGTTAATTTCGCTCAAGAGGTAATTAACTAAAATTGGAAGATCAGGTCTAATATCATAAATGAGTAATTTGTTAATTGGTTTGTGGAGAAATTAATTAGGTGACGATTAAACAAAACCATGAATCCTAACCACGTTTTCCTCCAAAATTTCCAAATGTTTATGCTTTCCTATTTTGTAAATTTTTAGTTAATTTCTTTATTTCAAATTATAATTTTACTTGTGTGTTTCTTTTTATTGTTAGAATTAAATTAATTGAAGTTGTCTACTCAAAAGTAAACATTCCTAGATCGACAATCCAGAATCAAAAGGTCCACTCAATTACTTGAATGCGATCGGTGTATTTGCGGCTTGCACTTTTAGCGAACAAATTTTTGGCGTCGTCGCCGGGAATCGAACTCGAGTCATCTGCGTTATAGGCAGGTATACTTACCACTATACTACAACGACATTGTCGGGGAATGTTTTTACTCTGATTACCACTATAGTTATTTTTAGTTTTAACAAGTTCTTTTTATTTATTTTTAATTGCTTTTATTTTTGTATATTTTGGCTAACCTTTACAATTTTAATCTATCTTGTGTTTGTATTCTCTTCTTGTACTTTTCAGATATTTGTATAATTCTAACTAGGTGAAATATCAAAACTTTTGCAATGGATAATCTCTAGTTTGGTTATAGATATATGTTTGGAGGTCCAAGATATGAAATTTTTCAAGTGATTTATTGTATAGGACAATGCTTGTTTTCTTGCACCAATGCCTCAATGTCGAAACTTCTTTGGTTTAGACAATATTTGAAATGTAGAAAACAAGCACTAGACAATTTTGATGATAGTTACATACTCGCGTGAGATTCTGTACCCGATGATTGGGACGATGACATCAAACTTTCAGGAGATGGTCCTCCAGTTCTAAATGAGAAGGTACTTGCAAATATTATAATGTACTTGTAAAGTTGGATGAATAAGACATGTTAGTGGGAGATTACAAATATTAGGATGGATTTCAAAAGTGGGGGGTATAATTCACTCGACGGAGTTAATAGGAAGGACTTGCCATTGCTCGTGGAGTTAAATGAAGGACCGATCATTCAATCCAAAGATGAATCAATTATTGAAGAAGAATTTGAAGAGAATGAAAAATCAATCACAATGGAGCTAAACGAAGATGAAGCAATACTAAATTAATAGGAAAGACTTGCCATTGCTCGTGGAGTTAGATGACGGACCGATCATTCAATCCAAAGATGAATCAATTATTGAAGAAAATTTGAAGAGAATGAAAAATCAATCAAAATGGAGCTAAACAAAGATGTGGTAATCAATGAGGAGAAAATCGACTTACATTCTATTGACTTGGTTGATGTCAATAAATTGATTTTGTGATTAAACCTAATGAGGAGGTAGATTTTGAATTGGATGAAATAGGCAAATCATATTATATGGAAATGGACAATGTTGAGTTTTAGAGATCTAATGAAGAGTGGAGCAAAGTCAAAAGAAGAAAAATGGGCAAGGTATCTAAAGCCTTCTTTAGGTGCTCGTGATTCAATTGCCAAAGTCGAGCTGAAGACTATAAAAAAGCACTTGTTTGGAGGCAATCCAACTTTTTAATTTTTAAGCTTTTTTATTTATTTTTATGCTTTTATCTAATCAGCTATAACTTATTGTAGGAAATTTTTGAAGTCCCCCAAATACATGGTTTCTCACAAGTTTGGGGGTAAATTGTGTACAAGAATGTCACATATCAAAGTTCATTGAAAGCATCACAGGTCCAAATCAAGCATTGGTATCTCTTCACAAATATACAACCGGTGAAGTTTTATTATCCCTCTTCTTGTTCTTTACATATTGAAGACAATGTGTGATTTAAATTTGGGAGTGATTATGCTTAAATTGGTGATTTTGTATTGACATGTTAGATAGCCTTGTCGGCTTTGGATTGTTTGATATTTGAAATTGTTATTGATTCATAACAATTTCAAATTGCTTATCCATTTTAAGATCTTGAATTACTTTGAACACGATAGTCATGATTAATTGTTATCTAGATGTGAAATTTTTTATTGATGGAAAGATTTTTGAATTGGTTGAACTACGTTGTGAGTTGTTTGCAAATTTATATCAACCTATACTCCCTTTCCTTTCACTTGTCGAGCTGGTGAAGGATATTATCTAGAAGTGTGTGATTTCGTGCATGTTGAAAATATTTGTATAGAGTGTCTTTTGTCAAGTATAATCTAAATAATGACCATATGCTAGGGATCTAAGCCCCATTTTTGTTGTGCTTAAAAAAAAAAAAAGTTATTGCACTTGGTGAATCTTGGGTCTCACTTCGTAGCATTTTTTATTTAAGTTATTAAGTCTGTAGGGGTATCTTGAAACTCGATACCCTTTGACCTAAATAACTGGGGAGTTATCGACTTAAAGCTTGCTATAAGAAGTAAAAAGAAAACTTAAGGGAGTGAGGTAAAATATAAAATTTAGCTTAAAAAAAAATTGTTGTTGTGCAGTTATATTTCATATTTGGGCTTAGATTACTAGTGTGTTTGAATTACCTAGTATATGTCTGAATGTGGAAGCGTTCATTAATGGAGAATCATTACATGACTAGATGTTGAGATTGTCGATTAGACCCAACCAAACTAGAGTGGGAAAAGAAATAAGTGATTGGAGATCAACCTTTAAATTTACACCTTGGGAAAGACAAGAAACATCTATTTGATGAATGTAAATCTCACGAGCGGGAAAAGAAATATTTGACTACAAAGGGTCAGGTTGGAGCAAATTTGCAGATTTTTCCATTTTGACAACTTTTTCCTCATTTAGATAATAATTGAAAGTAAAGTTGCACATGCACAAATCGATCGAACATTGGATAAACTTAAATTATTTTTGTTGGCATTATTTGGAGCATATTTGTAAATTAATTATACAATTTTACACTCATTGCTATATTTTCGCAAGCTATCTAATGTGCTAATCATATCACAATGGCTGAGTTGTAGACATTCTTGCTCGTTTCGAGCAAGATTTAAGTTTGAGGATATTTGATAAGTATATTTATACACACTAATTTAATATCTAAATATGTTTATTATTGATGAAATAAATGAAATTCTACTCACAATTAGGTAACATTTGCTTTTGTGAGTTAAAAATTACCAAAGGAAATAAAACAAGGCAAATTGGAGTAAAAAAAAGGACCAAAAGTGCACAAAAATATGAAGTTGGGGACCAAAGTGCACAAGTGCCGAAAGTTTGGGACCTAAGATTGCAATTTTTGGGTGGTGTGATTGAAAGAAAGTCAAAATTTGAAGACCAGATTATACATGATAAAAGTTGAGGGACCTTGTGTGCAATTTAATGGAGGACTAAGTTGAAAAAAATGAAGAAAGCCCGCGCTCGCAATGCAGGCTTATTATGATGCGCGGGGGAAACCGTTGGTGATTTACTGAGACCAAAATGGTCTCGCGGTGCGCAAACGCACCAAAAGTGCCCGCACGTACGCGCCACTTCGGACTAGACGAATTTTGCCTACTTCGCTTAAATTTCGTGACTTCTTCTACAATTTAACCTTAGACGATTTTTGGCTATTTAAATAACGTTTTGTTGGTCAATTCTAGGGCTTCTTTGGTTGGGTCTTCTTCCTCTTTCATTTTCTATACTTTTCTTTCATTTTCTTCTACTTTCTTTCTTCTTCACTTCTTTTTCTTTCCATTTTTCTTGACATTTTGGAAGTGAAATTAAAAGCATAAGGAGAATCTATAAATATTTGAAAAAGTCATAGCCAAGCTTCAAAAGGATTATATCTATAACTTTATATTTTCTCAATTATTTTGCCATATTTATAATGGATTGTGTAAAATATTCTCATTTTTATCAATTGTATAAAATGGGCTGATTTATTGTGTTGGGATTTATAGTAGTAACTTAACCTAACTTTTAATTAATTTTAATATTTGCTCTTTAATGTTAAGTTATTTATTTTCATGTGTTTTTATTATTGTTATTATTGCATTTTCATTTATGTGGCCAGTAAATGATTATGTTTAGTGATTTGTACATTGTTCGAGAGAAGATTGTACATTTTAGACCAAATAGTATAAACTTTAGGTTTGTGTAGGGAATAGAGGTATACCCCTAACCCTAGGTGATCGAATGAGTTAATTTCACAAAGAATTAGCGTGGTTGTTTGATTTTAATTAACATAAAGATATAATAAGTTAAACCAATCAATTAGGGTTAATTTTGTTGGAGAGAGGTAATTAAATTGAGAAATCGGGTCTAATATCATAAATGAGTAATTTATTAATTTGCTTGTGGAGAAATTAATTAGGCGACAGTTAAACTAAAACAATGTATTATTTTGTTTTTTAATTTCAGTTGAAGTGGATATTTTATGATTAGTAACGTTTTACGATTTTAGTTGAAGATGATATTTTATGATTATTAGAATTTTAGTTAAATACAAACTTTAAAAGAATATAAAAATGTCAAAGAATTTATGAAAATAAATATTTGTAGATGAGCCTAGAACAATATTTTTATTTAATTCTATATGTAAATAACAGTATCCTTAATGGGGGGTAGATAATTAGTCTATGTTTGGGAAGTGCTGTTTATAAATACTATTAATCAGTTTGATAAAGCTACTTTTTGTTTAAAAAGAAAAAAGAAAAAAATTGGTAATCGAACTTCATTTTTAATCTCAGATTTCATTCAATTCAAAACTTCTATCTAATTTTTAATCATATAATTTATAAAATCCACCAGCTTTTATAAATATATTTGCTAAAAATCTATATTAAAGAGAGACGATGAATTGTGTGGTCAAATTAATGTATTAGATGACTAATGTATATAATATTTGAAATATTGTGTTAAAGTTGAAATGTTGTATATAAGTCAATAAATAGACATTAGAAGAAGCCATGATGTTAATCTGTCTCCCTGGTTAAAGAGCAAAAAATTATGAATTTTTTTTAAAGATTCAGAATGTCAAAGAAAAGTAAGTTAGCACCCTTGTTTGAGCCACAAGTTATCAAAAACTAATTTTTTTTTTTTAAATTTATTTCAACCACACTTCAATAAAATAATTTTACACATAATTAGAGAAAGGTTTTTAAAGAAATTACATTCACACTAGTTTTTCAATTTTCAATTTCAATAATCTGGTAGTATATATTCAAAAATTAGGTACATCCCACCCCACCCCATCCCATCCCAACCCTCACCAACAAAATTTCACGTGACAATCTCTCTCATTCATAGAACTGTTCGGCCGCTACTACCAACTCCGACCGTCGTCACCGTCACTAGAAACCAACTACTTGACTATCCTACATTCAGCCACTTCACACCATCCCACTTGTGAATTATTGGCCACAATTTCAATTCTATTGTTTGAAATTAGGTACATCCCACCCCATCCCATCCCATCCCAACCC